CTCTCTCTCCACCCCTCTCTCTCTCTCTCCACCCCTCTCTCTCCCTCTCTCTCTCTCTCTCTCTCTCTCTCTCTCTCTCTCTCTTTTTGTGTTGTCACGCTCTCGTAACACATCTAATCTTCGCCACTTAAACGACCTTATTGTGTTGTAAGTGCCGTAAAACACTTATTAAAACAAAACAAAGCGCAACCAAACAGGATTCTGTCCATTGACCTGAATGTGCGTCCTCAAAGAGTTAATGTAGGTGTTGACAACGTAACCGTGATGAGTCTGTAAGTTTGATAGTCTCGTGATTGGCATGTCCAACGATTGCATACACAATTTAAAAGCTATATAGTTTTAGTTTAATTTTAGCAAGAGTTTAAGAGCACTTGCAACACAATTAGATCATAAAAGTATCGAAGATGAGATGAGTGTTAAAAGAGTATAACGTACTCAGAAACGAAGGAAGAAAGGTACGGACAATAGATGTTTGAAAGGAAAGCTCTACAAGCTAGAAATACATGCTAAATTATCAATTATGCATAGAACTAGAAGTACAGGAGACAGGCAGAAAGGGAGTAATTCACTATTGTTTACAGCAGAACTGATGCTTTTCGAGGTGTATTTCGAAGTATCTTTTCACAATTAGTTTCTATAAAAACTCAAGAAAGAAATTCTAAACGTGTAACATTACTCTTTCTGAACTCTTTCGCTTCAATGAGTCTACTACTAGATCTAGTTGCCCTCTGTATGCCATTTTAAGAGCTCCGGATAAATACATCAGAAGCCGTAAAAAGAAAAACACGATGCAGGGAATGAGTTAAAGCAGTATTGAGATCTGTCTTTTTGGTTTTTTTTTTTACCTTAAACAGAACAAAGCTCAACTGAGAACCAAAGCCGACAGAATCGTATGTTCAAAACACTCCTAAACAACAGCAACACTGTCATGGACTCGTCAACTGACGACCATTTTACTCATTCTTCGTGGCACGAACGTTTCAGTGACCTCTTCGATTTTTTAATACACTGTATTTGTTTGTTTT